GAGGAAATTTCATGAGGTAATTTTAAAATCAAAAATAAAAATAAAAATAAAAATAGTTAACTGAAATCAAAGTGAAGGCGTGGTTGAAAAAGAAAAATGCCTTGTTGTGTGAAAAAAAAAAGAAAAAAAATGCTTCGTTGCATTGGTGAAAAGGAAAAAAAATGCCTAATTACTTTTTGCTCGAGTTTGGGAAGGAAATCGAGGAAATTTCATGAGGTAATTTGAAATCAAAAAAAAAATAAAAATAAAAGAAATGTTGAGCGAAATCAAAGTTGAATGCTTGGTTGCGTAAAAAAAAAAAAGAAAGGAAAAGGTTTTTCAAAAATAAAGGATGACTTAATATCTTAAGTTCAACCGAAAACCAATGAGTTTTCGTTGATAAATGGAACTACGATAAAATAAACTAAGTGGTAAATAAAATGGTAATTAATTGCTAAAATAAATGATAATAAATTGAATAAGTTGATAAATTGGTTAAATAATTTAATTTTAATTTTAGAAAATAGTGAAAATGGTTAATATATAAACAAAAAAATATATATAGTGGTTTGAAACTGTTTTGTATCTACATGCCATCATCTAGATTTCTTAATTGATTAATTATGCCCTATAAATTTTTTGTCTCTTCTGTTGCGACACTTAGGCGGAAACGTGATCCTAACCTTAAATGCGAATTTATGCTATGTATACAGGAGACATGGAAATCTATAAACCTTTTCGTGTATTTATCTTTGTGTCATGTTTTTTGAGATCTCAAAAGCCAAATGCCGTATTTTAATTTGTCTCGAGCCTTAATGCGTTCTAGGGGTTTTTATGCGATCCCCTAGGGCACTTAAGATGTGCTCGCCCAATATCCACTTTTTATATTGGGTGTCGGTGCCTATATTAAAACCTTGAATACAGGATTCGAGGGGATCCTCGGTCCTTCTAAAAGGTCGCTTAATCCCTTTTGGGAGAAAACGTAAGTTCGAAACTAACTAACAATTAAAGTGGTAATGTGCGTGAACTTTGTTCGTAATTGACTTTGAGATCTACGTGTAGGTGGAATATGTAATGTTTTTTGGAAGTCTGTAAGAATAATTAGGATTTGATTATAATAGGGATGTGAACTCATTAAGATGTGTCGGTAACGTCTTGTGAGAGTGGAATTGAATGGTATTTGTAAAAGTCGATATGTAGCTGGAATGTGGAATGAAATTGGGTGATATCCCGAGATGTTCCTGCTGAACTGCTACTTCAAAAATACAGCGCGCCTACGTCACAGGATGACGTAGCATTCGAGGAGCGTCCAGCCACCACCACTAGAGGCGCTCTGCCCTCTCCATCACTTCCTGTTATGTCTTCGCTTATACTACCTGTTTCATGTTCTCGTGATATATTAAAACCTATATATATTTCAATCTATTCTCAATTTGATTGAACCACCGATCCAACAAGTGGTAGCAGAGCGTGGTTCCTTAGCTCTGTGGTTCAAGTTCAGCGTATCCTCGTGAGTAAAATTCCTTCAGCGAAGCTACCACCGTTTGCCCTCGTCGAGAAGTTGCTGCGTCATCATGGCGGCCGTTAGTGCAATAACGGCGGCGGTTGAAAAATTGAACGGCCAAAATTACCGCTCATGGAAGTACAACATCAAGATGCTACTAATTGAGAAGGGCTTGTGGGATGTGATGTTTAAAGATGAAGATACCCAAGATGCTCAACTAAAAGCTCAAAAGGATAGAGCTTTGGCTGTTATCGCGTTGTCGATAAATACAGAACACCAAATCCACATCATCGACTGTTCATCGCCACAGGATGCGTGGAAAAATCTGGAACAGGTTTTTGTGCCAAAATCTCGTTCGAGGATACTACAGTTAAAGAAGCAGTTTGTGAACATCAAGCTTCAAACTGGTGAGTCGATGTTAGACTATTTGAATAGATTGAAAATTTGTACGGACCATTTAAAAGAAGCAGGTGCGGAAGTCGACGATCAAGATATAGCATACAGCATGCTATCAGGGTTACCTGACAGCTTCGATACCCTGGTGATGTCGTTCGGAAATGTCGAGGACTCTGACTTCACATCGAACAAGGTTAGAAATACTCTACTCACAGAGTATGAAAGAAGATCTTCCCGAGAAGGAGCAAGTTCAGGTCTCGGCGAAGCACTCAATTTTTCCAAGGACGACACTAGGAAGACTTCCAGAAAACAAGGAGTCAAGTGCTACCGATGTTCGAAAATCGGCCATATCGCCAAGGATTGCAGGTCGTCCATCAACTGAGACTACAAGGCGGATAAAAGCTACAGCAGGAAGAAAGACTCTTTTAAATCTCCGTCGGAGAATATGCTCATGGCCTTCAATGCAGTCTCTTCGGAAGATGAATTCATCTTGGACAGCGGCGCAACACATCACGTCTGTAAGAACCGACAATGGTTTACAAGTTTCCAGCCTACTACGTGTGAGCCCATCCAGACTGCGAGCGGCAACCTACAAGTAGAGGGAGTTGGAAATATCCGCATGAAGATGTACCTAGATACTGGAACGCAAGATGTCACCTTGAACGACGTGCTTTTTGTGCCCCAAGCAAGAAGAAATTTGCTTTCTGTGTCGCAAACAGAGGATAAAGGCAAGCACATCAAGATTTGTAACCACAAGGCAAGAGTGTTCAGTGACAACAGAGTGATATGTGTGGAAAGGAACCTAAACGGATTGTACATCGTTAGAGGTAAGCCTATCTTACAAAATGCGCACTTAGCTAGTTCAAGTCCGCCTACACTAGAACTTTGGCATAAACGCTTTATGCATATCAATGCAGACACTTTAAACAAGTTAGCTAAAAATTGCGTTGTTAATGGTCTTGAAATTTCCAAAGGAGAAATGTCAATATGCGATGATTGCTGTATGACAAAGTCAACAATGTCGCCACATAAAAGCTCTCCATATAAAATAAAAACTAAAAATTTGTTAGAGTTAGTACATAGCGATCTGTGTGGACCATTTCCAGTTGAATCTTTTGCTGGGTCACGCTATTTTCTAACATTTACAGACGATTTCTCCCGCAGAGTTACTGTTTATTTCTTAAAGCATAAAGATCAAGTTATTGAATACTTTGACATCTTTAGGGCTAGAGCCGAAAGAGAAACAGGTCATAAGATTAAACGCTTGCGGACAGATAACGGGTTAGAATATTGTAATAAAAACTTTAAACAAAAACTTGAGAGCCTTGGAATAAAACACGAATTAACGAATTCTTACAGCCCTCAGCAAAATGGCGTCTCGGAGCGTTTAAATCGTTCGTTACTTGACATGGCTAGAGCGTCAATGCATAACGCTGATTTGCCACAAAAATTCTGGGCTGAAAGCGTTAATTGTGCCGCATACATTAAAAATAGAAGCCTTTGTAGCGCTCTTGATAACAAAGTTCCTGAGGAAATTTGGCTTTCAAGAAAAGTGAGCGTACGTCATTTTAAAATATTTGGAGCTCTAGCTTATGCTCATATTCCAAAGCAAAAGCGAAAGAAATTCGACCGTCGAGCTAAAAGATGTATCTTAGTCGGATATTCAACACAATCCAAAGGTTATAGACTCTGGGATAATGATTCTAAACAAGTGTTCATAACTAAACATGCTAGATTCGACGAAAATAAAGTCGGTTTAAACCAGCTTAAGGACGACGTAACGGAAGGTAGCGAGGCTAAAAACAGTTTCGTTTGGTTGCCGCAACAGGGCAAAGTTCTCCCGCCACCTGATCCTGATCTTCAACCAGGTTACGACAGTCAAGTAGAAGTTCCGTCGACTTCAGAAGTTAAAGATATAGTGGGGGGTAGTTCTGAAAATACTTTGAGCCTCCGTAGTCGTGAAATTGAAAGAAAAACACTGAATCTTGCAAATGTTGAACTAAATTTATGCGAGGTGTCTGAACCTCAAACTTTTGAAGAAGCTGTTTGCTCACCCGAATCAGATCTTTGGAAAAATGCGATGCAAGAAGAGTTAAATTGTTTAGAAGAAAGACAAACATGGGTTATCACTAATTTACCTAAAAATAAGAAAGTAATCGGTAATCGTTGGGTTTTTAAAATAAAAGGAGATTCTAAAGGAAAGGTCAGTAAATTTAAAGCTAGGCTCGTAGCCAAGGGTTACAGCCAGACACCCGATATTGACTTTAATCAAACATATGCCCCTGTTGCCAATTTCGGTATAATCCGAATGCTTTTAGTTTTGACCCAAAATGCTGGCTGGGTAAATAGGCATTTAGACATAAATAATGCATATTTATATGGGGAACTTCATGAAGAATTGTACATGGCTTTGCCACCAGGAGTAAAGTTTCAGGATTCTAAAGATAAAGTTCTTAGACTTTTAAAACCTATTTATGGGCTTAAACAAGCAGCTTTTTGTTGGAATACCACGCTGAGTCAATTTCTTGAAAAAGTGGGCTTTTCTAAAATTCCATCGTGCAATTGCATTTTTGTGCTTGACGATAGGGCAATAATAGCAATTTATGTAGACGACTTAGCGATATTTGCTGTTGACCAGAATACACTTGACGAAATCGAGGATAAGATTATACAAGAGTTTCAAATTAAAAGTCTGGGGCCCATTACATTCTTTTTAGGTGTCGAGATAAATTACGGCAAAGAGAGTTTGTCTCTTAATCAAAGACACTACATACAAACTTTACTTCAAAGATATAATATGTTCGAAGTTCGCAAAGTATGTACGCCTTTAGACCCAGCTATCATACTATCTAAAATAGATTGTCCCCATACACAAGCTGAAATAGACCAAATGTCTAATATACCATATAAAGAGCTTATTGGTGCATTGTTGTATTTGTCCAATTGCACTAGACCAGATATCTCTTTTGCTACTTCGAAACTTTCCCAATTTTGTTCAAACCCAGGAAAGAAGCATTGGGAAGCTGCAAAACATGTTTTGAGATATCTATCGGGTACCATTGACTTAGAACTCTCCTATGTCAAAGGAAACAACAATAAAGTCGCAATGTTCACAGACGCCGATTATGGGAGTGACACAGATGATCGAAGATCCTACTCCGGAATGGTTGCAGTTATTGATGGGAATGTCATCAACTGGCGATCTAAAAAGCAGCAATGTGTTTCGTTGTCTACCATGGAATCGGAGTATATAGCATTATGTCACAGTGCTAAAGAGGCCGTCTGGCTCGGTCAAACCCTGTCTGATCTTGGATTTATCTTGCACTTTGCCAAACCACTCACAATCTACTGTGACAATCGATCAGCCATAGACTTCTCTAAGAATAACATTGAGAACAATCGTTCCAAGCACATCTCAGTTCAGTTCCACTACACAAGAGATAAGATAAACTCCGGTGATATCGTTGTCCAGTTTGTCAACACCAAGGAAAACATGGCCGATATCCAAACCAAGACTTTAAAGAAGTTGATGCACAGAGATGCATGTTTCCAGATGAATTTGAAGTCGCAAGTGGGGGAATGCTGAACTGCTACTTCAAAAATACAGCGCGCCTACGTCACAGGATGACGTAGCATTCGAGGAGCGTCCAGCCACCACCACTAGAGGCGCTCTGCCCTCTCCATCACTTCCTGTTATGTCTTCGCTTATACTACCTGTTTCATGTTCTCGTGATATATTAAAACCTATATATATTTCAATCTATTCTCAATTTGATTGAACCACCGATCCAACAGTTCCCAAACTGGCGACATGTAGAAGTCCCCCGCTTGACCTCAATTTAGACGAGGGGCCCACTGTAATTAGATCCGGAAATGGGGGAACTCTCACCCTCTGTTTGCATGGGGTATTTTTATTGCCGCGCGGAGCTACTCGCTTCCTGTCTCCTAATTGCTTTTGTTCAACTTGAATCTTTTTAATGGTTCTCTACTTATTTTACTGGAGTGGGATTTTTTTTTTTCTTTCTTTCAGCACTGATTTGTTACCTTTCAGTTACTCCTATCTCCTCGGAATTTATTTAGATTTTCTGCAAAAATGTTTCCTAAAATTATAAGAAGTTTTACAAATGCTTGTCCTATATTAAAAACTGCCTCTTGCAGCTCGAAAACTCTATTAGAAGGCATGGTATAGGTTAACAATTAACTAAGGAATAAAACTGGGGTACATTTGTAGGGTAGGACTAGCAGACAAAGGATAAAAATCAGATGAAAGATAGGGTATCGATACATGTTCTCCCATATTGTTGTAAATGGTGACTCTGAAATATTTGCTCGAACCTTATTCATTGTTGGCCGTTCAATTTCGCACTGCTTGTTATCGTTGGGGAGTGGCGTGTATCGTTTTTGAAACAGAATGGTAGGATTTAAATGATTGTCAGGTTCGCAGTTCTTAACATCGGGGAAGAATGGCGTAAATCGCCTTGTTGAAAAAATGGCAGGGTTTAAATGCCTGAAAGGCTCGCTGTTTGTGGGTTTGAATCTTAATGGCTCTGCTGGGAATAATTCGGGTGTGAAATGCTTAAACGGGAACGTGTAATCGGGCTTGTGCCTTATATGGCATATTCTAACGGCCGGCGGTGATATATAACGGACTGTTTCTGTATACAGCTTAAGCTTGCTGACGTGGATCGTATCAGTGTCTCTTTGAAGAGGTTGATTTGGTCGATCTATATGGACCACATTCGGTGAAATAATTTCTAATACTGTGTGGGGTCCTGTGAAATATGGCGCGAGTTTCCCTGTATTGGGGTGGTGATATAATTTAACTAACACTAGATCACCTACTTCGAAATGTGGTTGTTTGTGTCGTTGATCATAAGTGTTTTTGTCCTGAAGATGCTTGTTTTGTGTTCGTGTGTGTGCAATCTTTCTAGCTCTGTCGATATCTGGGTAAGGTGTGCTATGGTCAGAGAGTTCTGGGGGTAGGATGCCAAACATTAGGTAGATGGGTGGAAAACCTGTGGTAGAGTGTGGGGTTTTGTTATATATGACTGTAACTCTTTTGACCAACTTGGTCCATGCGATCTTAGGATTTTCTAAATGTAACAGCCTAAGTTTTCCCGTGAGGGTGGCGTTCAGGCGTTCACATAGACCCTTGGCTTGTGGATTGTTGCTGGTTGTGAGTAGTGGGTGGATGTTTCTATTAAGTAGGAAACTACTAAATTTTGGCGAAGTGAAGGCAGAGCTCTATCCGTAAGGAGGCGTTTCGGAGAACCATCCTGTAATACTCGCTTAAGCACCTGTTGGTAGGTGGTGATGCTGGTGGATTTAGATGGAAAAGTCCACGCGTAGCGCGAAAAAAGGTCGACTACAACATGGAGGTGTATTTTGGTGTTGCCATATTTGGCAAATCCTGCTATGGTGTCTAGGGATAATAGGTCGAAGGGTTCTTTGGCTTCCGGAGGTTGACTTAACTCCCCGTAAGTGGGTCCCAATGGACGTTTTGTTAACTGGCAGGTGGGGCAGGTCTTAACCTTTTGTTTAATATCTTTTGACATACCTTGCCAGTAATATTGCGTGGAGATGAGTCGTGACATTTGTGAAATACCGGGGTGGTTATAGTGTGCGTGTACTGTTTGTAAGAGTTGTTGTATGAGTGGTTTTGGAATTATAATCTTGGTTACACCTTTTCGGGAAACTGTATGTAATCCATTACGATCAATGGTCAGACTAGACTCTCTCGATGGAGGAGATTGGTGTGTCTTGATAAGGGACGCGTCTAAGAATCCACAGAATGGGTTACGGGAAAAAAGATCCGCCTCATACTGTTGTTTTCCCTTTATGTAGCGGACTTCATACTCGTAACTCGATAGCCGTAAACTCCATCGAAACAATCTGCTGGACGGGTTTTTGATGGTCTTCAGCCATTGCAATGCGTGATGGTCAGAAAATATAGTAAACTTTCTGCCCATCAGATAGATGCGAAACTTCTCCACACTCTCAACGATTGCTAAGCACTCAAGTTCAGAGATGGAGTAGTTTTTCTCGTGTGGGCGCAATGTTCGGCTGAAAAACTGAACTGGATATGCGTTCCCGTCAGGGTGAACCTGTTTGAGAATGCCTGCTATACCGAGGGTGGATGCATCGCAATACACTTGGCATGGCAGACCTTCTTTGTAAAGGTGTAAAATGGGGTGTGGTGTGAGGTTCCCTTTCAGGTCAATGAACGCCTTTTGGCAAGCTTCATCCCAGATCCACACGACATCCTTTTTGAGGAGGTTATTGAGTGGTGCTCGCAAGCGAGCGTATTCCGGGATGAATTTGTTATAGACGTTCACAGCGCCTAAGAAGGATTGTAGTGTTTTTCGGTTGTGTGGTTGTTTAATGGCGTGAATGATGTCTGTGTTGCGTGTGAGCGGTGTGGTTGTACCAGCTGTGATGGTGTAGCCTAGGAAATCTATGGACTGCTTAAAAAATTCGCATTTCGCGAAGTTAAGTTGTAACTCCTCTGCTTCGCAAAAGGCGAAAAATTGTCGCAGGTGGTTTTGATGTTCCTCCAATGTGTTGGAGTAAATGATGAAATCATCAAAGTAATGTGCCACACAGTCAAGTCCGTGTCTCTGTAGGACCTGACTCATGGCTCGTTCGTAGATCTGAGGGCTGGTTTTTAATCCGAAAGGTAATCGAGTGGGTTGGTATAACCCTTCGAGGGTGGCAAATGCCAACAGTGGTCGAGAATCGGGGTGTATTGGGACCTGCCAATACGCAGAGGATATGTCGGCCGTGGAGAAATACTTGGCCTGTGCGAGGCGGTCGAGGATATCCTCGATTCTCGGGAGGGGATGGACATCAGAGCTAATTAGTTCGTTCACCTTTCTATAATCGATACAAAACCGTTTGGTCTTGTCGCGCTTAGTGACGAGGGTGACAGGGCTCGAGAAAGGTGAAAAAGATTGCTCTATAATGCCATTCTCTAGCATTTGTTGGACTTGATTACGGATTTCTTGTTGGTCACATATCGGAACACGATATGGTCGTATGGTAATTATTTTGTCGGAATTCGTGGGTATTTTTACGGGTGGAATCCTTAAGCATGGTACGTTGAATTTGTTCTGTGTGAAGATGTGATTGTATCTTTGTAAAAGTGTTGTGAACTGGGGTGTATAGAGAGGATTGTGTGTCGTGTTGTAGCATGTATGTGGCAAAGGATTTTGTTGGGTCTTAGTGTGAGTGTCGAGTTCGTTGTGTGGGTTGGTCATGTGATAGTTGTATGACGACGTATGATCACCTATGTGCTTGGTATGCGAGTTGTCCCGCTGTATGGGTATTTTTGGGCATTATGGTTACCAATTGAAGCCGTGGTGGCTTTGTTATTTGAGGGCATGTAAAATAGGCAATTGGCCTTAGTGAAAAAATGGCATGTAGATAAGGGTGGTTTGTTCAATGAATGCACGCAATGGTTGTCATAGGCGGAAAGTTTGGCTGTAGGGTAAGATCTTTGTGACATTGCCAGTAGGTGCATACATTTGGTACATGGTTAAAATGGTAGGATGGGGTAGACAATGGGGCGCCCAGCTGGAATATAGTGCATTTATTAAAATCTATTTGTTCCAGCCTTAAATATGCAAAATTGTTAGAATTTACTTTTGTAAATTATTGTTAAATTATGTAAATTTTAGAAATGTATATAATCTTGATTTTAGAAAATAAAGATAGTTATTGAGTTATTAAGTATACGTGGTTGAGTCATTAGAGTTGGTGAGACAAGAGTTATTAAGTATACGTGGTTGAGTCATTAGAGTTGGTGAGACAAGAGTTATTAATGTATACGTGGTTGAGTCATTAGAGTTAGTGAGACGAGACAATAGCAGTTATTCAAGTTTGAATGAGTTATAGTTAGCTCGCTGAGTCAAGAAGCATATAATTAAAACCAGCGTTAAAATAAAAATTAGGCGGTGATTCCTCCTTAGTGCCAGGAGGCCAAAGCCAGTTCGATGCATGGTCCCTCAAGAGCCTGATTAGGATTTGAAACAGAAGAAATTTAGCAAAAACTCAGCGAGAATACAATTGCAAATGTCTCGAGACGAAAGGATCCTCCAAAGAAAGTTAAGTTACCAGAAAAGGAGAATTGATGGATTTATTGAAAGTGTGGATTCAATTATTGAGGCAGGTGAAACAATACGCTTAGAAATAATGGGTGAAGAATTAAAGGAGATCAAAGAAAAAATTGAGAAACTCTACGACGAGCTGTTTTCTTTGGATGAAGTTGATATAGATAAAGAAAGTGAGGCATGTGATAGTTCAATGAACAAGATTGGAAGCTTGAGGGTAAAAATAGAAAATGAAAGAAAACTCAAAGACAAACTGGCGGACATAAAGCCAAATGGCTCTCAGGCAAATATAAAATTGCCTCAATTTGACTTACCGATATATGATGGAGATATGGGCAATTGGATCAACTTCAAAGAGCTATTCCTCACCACCATCGATGCACATCCAGGGTTAACTAATATACAGAAGTTACAATATTTGAATTCTGCAGTAAAAGGCGAAGCGGCCAGATTAATAAGGGGTTTCCCTTTACTAAGTGAAAATTATGGCCAAGCATGGAATACACTGTTATCAAGATATGATAACCCGAGAGAGCTAGCTTATGCCCAGGTGTCAAAAATATTTTCTCTCCGGGCAATTAAGAATCCATCGGCTAAGTGTCTCCATGAATTCATGGATGTTTGTAATGAAGCCATAAGAAACTTAGAAACGCTGGAATTGAAGAGAAATAAATTAGTGGATGTGATCCTGGTGCACTTCCTCCAGCAGAAGTTGAGTGAAAATCTAAGGTTGGATTGGGAACTGTCAGTGGACAACACTCTTCCTTCTTATGACAAGTTCATAGCGTTCATTTCCAGACATGCGAGAAGCATGTCTTGTGCTGTCAGGGAATGTTCAAAAAGGGAAGAAACCACCGGATCGAGATTTCCCAAATGCCAAAGCTACGGGATGCTAATTGAGAAATCGGACACTTGCATATTATGCAAATCTAAGCATCATCCACTATACATGTGCAACTTATTTTGCAAAATGCCTTTAAAAGAAAAATTAAATGTAGTAAAAGGTCATAAATTGTGCTTCAATTGCTTGAGGAAAGGCCATTTCTCATGGAATTGTAGGCTGAACCAACGATGCAAAGTATGCAAGGGGAAGCACCACACGATGATTCATTATGATAAACCGAGCACGGAAGGCGCTTCGGCCCAAGTTGAGAACACAACTCCGAAGGAACATGAAAGTGCTATCAATTTAACTAATACTCAACAGGCAAACTGCAATGATAGCCACGTACTACTCGCAACAGTTAGAATCAAGATAAAAAATGGACTCGGAAAGTTATGCACCTGCAGAGCCCTACTGGACAGCGGTTCCCAAGTCACCATGATAACAAAAGGATGCTGCGAAAGATTGGGACTTGTCCAAAGGAAATCAGATCGGATGATTATAGGGGTTGGAAACACACCAGTGCAGCATTCTTCATCGACAGTAAGTGTGACATTTTGTCCACTGAATAATTCTGAGGAATTCTCGGTGGAGACAGTAGTCACGGGAGTGCTCACTTCAGAAATTCCGAACTTCAGGTTGAAAGACCCTAATTGGCCAACTTTGAAGAACCTCAAATTGGCAGACCCAGAGTTCTACATACAAGCCCCAATAGATATGATATTGGGAGCAGATATATACACTGAACTTATGTTGAATGGCTCTATATCTCTCGGAGAAGGATTGCCAATGGCTATTAATACAAGACTAGGTTGGGTACTTCTAGGAAAACTCATGGGAACATCGGAGAGTAATACAGAAGTCTGTAACCTGAGTTTACAATCTGAACCAGAACTAGAATTCGTAATGAAAAGATTCTGGGAAATTGAATCTGTGCCGTCACCGGATCTTTGTACACAGGACGAAGATTGTGAAAGGTTATTTTCGAATAACCATGGCAGAGATAGCCATGGAAGGTATTGGGTAAAATTGCCATTCAGACAACATCGACCGCTTCTGGGTGAATCAAGAGAAAAAGCTTTAAGAAGGTTCCTTTCGTTGGAAGGAAAATTGTGTAAGAATGTGAAATTATATGACCAATACCGGGGATTCATGAAGGAATATGAACACTTAAACCACATGGAAAGGGTCCCAATTGCAGAAGTGAAGCGAGAATTGTGCAGATGCTATTACATGCCTCATCATCCAGTAATTAGAGAGCAATCCACTACAACCAAAATGAGAGTTGTGTTTGATGCATCAGCTAAATCTGAAAATAATGTTTCTTTAAATCAATTTTTGCACAAGGGACCAAAAATCCAACAGGATGTATTTTTCATTCTCCTCAGATTCAGAACGTATCCTGTCGCCATAACTGCTGATATAGAAAAGATGTACCGCCAGATAAGAATTCATCCAGAAGATGCGGACTATCAGAGGATATTGTGGAGACCATCGCCAGAAGAGCCTGTGGTGGACTATCGACTGCTGACTGTTACCTATGGTACAACTTCGGCTCCATTTTTGGCAATGAGAACATTACAACAGTTAGCAGAAGATGAAGGCCATAATTATCCTGAGGCTTCTAGGGTGACCTTGAATGATTTCTATGTCGATGATCTGCTAACAGGAGCTCAAACGATTGCTGAAGCCAAAGAACTAATAGACCAATTAAAGGACTTAATGAAAAAGGGAGGGTTTCACTTAAGAAAGTGGAATTCAAATTGCCACGAGATAGTGTCTCATGTCGAGGAAATGAACGAAGAGAAGAAAATTAACTTGGAGAAAGGAGCCATATCCAAGATTTTAGGAATTGTATGGGATCATGTACAAGATACGTTTAGAGTTAATATAACTCTTCCTGAAGAAGTTGTTACCAAAAGAGATCTTCTCTCCAATATTGCGAGGATTTTCGATCCACTTGGTTTCCTCTCACCTACTACAGTGGCTTTGAAAATAATAATGCAGGAGTTATGGAGAAGTGGGACAGGCTGGGATGAGCATATTCCGAACGACATCAAGGAAAAGTGGAATAAATTTAGAGCCGAATTACTAAAATTAGGGGAGTTGAGTATCCCAAGATACGTATGGGCATGTGAAGGGGATCGAGATGTTCAACTCCACGGATTTTGTGACGCGTCAAGTGTAGCTTATTCGGCTGTGTGCTACTTAAGAACAGTCTCTCTGGATGGACAAGTCCATATATCAATGCTTGCAGCAAAAACCAGAGTTGCCCCATGTAAGTCTCTAACTCTACCAAGATTGGAATTGTGCGCGGCTCTCCTCCTGTCTCAGCTCTACAGATCTGTTGTTGATTCATTGAAGATTGATATTGGCAGGGCATATTTGTGGTCAGACTCTCAGATCTCATTGAGTTGGATCAAATCAGATCCTAACAGATGGAAGACCTTTATACACAATAGAGTTGTGAATATACAGCAACTGTCTGACCAGAAGGTGCGAGTTGCCCAAGTTCGGGCTGCTACCGGAGTCTACCTACGACCTATTACGAAGTTGGCTCCGCTTCCCTTCAAATCTGAACCAGGGTTCAGCGGCCGAGGGGAGTATGTTCCAGCCTTAAATATGCAAAATTGTTAGAATTTACTTTTGTAAATTGTTGTTAAATTATGTAAATTTTAGAAATGTATATAATCTTGATTTTAGAAAATAAAGATAGTTATTGAGTTATTAAGTATACGTGGTTGAGTCATTAGAGTTGGTGAGACAAGAGTTATTAAGTATACGTGGTTGAGTCATTAGAGTTGGTGAGACAAGAGTTATTAATGTATACGTGGTTGAGTCATTAGAGTTAGTGAGACGAGACAATAGCAGTTATTCAAGTTTGAATGAGTTATAGTTAGCTCGCTGAGTCAAGAAGCATATAATTAAAACCAGCGTTAAAATAAGAATTAGGCGGTGATTCCTCCTTAGTGCCAGGAGGCCAAAGCCAGTTCGATTCACTATTGCTAATTTGAATTTGTGGAGGCTATTAAGGCTAAGGATTCCAAATGGTAATGGTGCATTCACCACTTGGAAATTCTCTCTTCGGGATATTTGTCCTATGGTTAGAGGGAGAGACAGTTTACCCATTGTTTTTGCAAAACCATCCAGGGTATGGAGATCCAGTGAATGTCTTTTAAGGGTTAATTTAGGCAGGTGAGTTTTTAACATATTGTAAAGATTGTATGGCACTATATTCAGGCTGGCGCCTGTATCAATTAAAAAGGGGCATGGTATATTAGGGGCTAGGAAAAGTTTTACAGTCAGTTGGGTTAGGGAGCCTACCTCAGTCTCGAAAAGTCTGCTCTGCTGGGGTGTCTCTGGCTTGAGCTGGTTGCTGGGGACTCGGGACTGGTTGTTTTGGGACTGATTGCACTGTCCTGGCACTTTGATATCGGTTTGGGACTGATTGCACTGTCCGTTCTTTTTCGTGGGTCGCCGGGACTGGTCGATGTCGGCATTCGCTGTGCCAGTGCCTCGCGCCGCAGAACTTACAGTTGGACGGTGGAAGAGGTGCATTCCAGGCACCTGGGCGTCGGGGTGTGTTGTGGTACGGACCCGACATTGTGGGCGGTTGGTCCTCTCTGTATCGCGTTGTCGGTACACTGGGCCCGTGGATCCGCTGTACCAGTCGGAACCACTCTCCTAGGTTCTCGGGAGGCACTATGCGGACTAGGCGCTGGTCGGAGAATGGCAACCCTTCTGTCAGCGTCTCGAGGATCACCTCCTGCGGGAGTCCTAGTTGTAGCCCCATGGCGGTTTTCTCCCGGTAGTAGGTCTCTAGGTTGGCTTGTCCAGTAAGCTTCATGGCGAAATATTTCGCAAAGGACGCTCCGCTTGACTCAGGATAGAGATCTAAGAGGATTTGTCTCACCTGGAAATAGCTCCGGTCGGCCAGCCGAAGTTTCCTGAAAAGCTCCAGGGGTTGTCGCACCAGGTAGTTTGGTAGACGGAGCAATTTTTCTTTTTCTTCCATGGAGTCTTCCATTTTCCGGTCGAATGCTTGGAAAAACTGGGACGCACTGTACGTTCCATCGAAGACTGGTAGATCCGCGCCCGGGGTGTCGGATCTGCCTCGGGATAACGCCGTCGCAATCTGACTGATGGCAACCGCTAGGGGGCCCGTCTCCTCCGCCTCGGTCATTTCCTGTCTCTCCGGTTGGTCGTCATCTTTGACGCCGATGGTATCTTGGTTACTCTCCATAGAATTATCCTGTTGACTACCAATACCGAGAGATCGGCAGAAGAACATCTTGCCTTATCAACAGCCAGGAAAACAACGAGTGGGGATGCCCCCTCGGGGTCAGCTCAAGGTCAACCACGTGTGACAGGGGCGTCGTCTTCAGCGGGCGCCGTTGTGACAGCTGACGCGTCAGCAAACAGGGCCCAAAACGGATATGTAAATTCGTCTACAAAGAACGGCAGCGATGCAAATCGGGCTGCGGAAACAATCGATAAAAATGTGAATTGGGCGGATCAAGTGGAGGCCGCGGATAAGGATGAAGATCCTACACCTTTCATCCAAGTGAAAAAAAGGAAAGCGTCACCTCCTAAAAGCCAGCCGACCAAGGTTGCGAAGTCGGAATCCAGCGCTCCAAAGCCAGCTGGGAATACATGAGTTTTCAACAGGAATCCCGTGGCAGCCATCAAAAACACCAGGCAACAGCAGCAGATCAACAAGGCCAGATCTGCAGCAGCATCCTTCGATCAGGGCTGCTTTATTGAATGGTGCCCGGATTTCGATCACCTATGCTACATGAGGGCCTTGGAAGAGAAGCTGGGAAGGGGTTCCGTCTTCCAACTCATGAGAATGTCTGGCCACATGCTGGCCAGTCTGTCCAGTGTGGAGAAGGCCGAGCGCCTGATCGAGGACGGACTTACAAT